ATTCAACACAACAAAATATTTCTCCTAAATTAACCATTATGCATGAATTAATTTAAAGAGAAAGTAAACTTACATAACAATCTTCAAATGTCGAATCCATATACAAGCTTCTCCAAATACAACATACAATAAGAAAAGAAAAATAAAAAGAAAAAGAAAAAATGAAGAGGGTAAGAACCCCTCTTCTTACTCAAACTTGCATGGGTGAAAGATGGTGGAAAAATGATGATTTGGATGATAAAAGATGATAGATACATATAGAGACTTGAAGAGGGTGGGTAGTTCAACTTCCTTAGCAATATTAGCATGTTTTTAAGCTGAAAATTCGGTCTCAAACTTCCCCTACTCTCAACCAAGCTTCCCCCACTCTCAACCACCATGAAATAGGCTAGAAAATGATGTTTCAGCAGTTTTTAAGTCAGGTAAGTCGCGACATTTCTCGCGAGTCGCGACTTGACTCGCGACATTGGCAGCTTTGCGCAACTTTGCGTTTTTGTCTCGTTTGAGCTCATCCGAACTCGGAATTTAGTTCCGTTTTTTCCTACGCGTCGTTAACGAACCCCTCTATCCAATGATGCTTGAAAACCACACTATTGCTCAGAGTACAAATTATGTGGAATTTCCAACCTTTAAAGGGTCGGTAACTTGCGCGGCTTCGCATTTTGATTCCGTTCGGATTCATCCGAACTCGAAACCAAATTCCGTTTTTTCCTATGTGTAGCCAATGAGTCCATCTACATAACCATCCGATCCATGTCATTACCTCACGATGCCTCCGACCTGCACACGAAAAAACAAGAAGAAAAACGGGAAAAACACACGAAAAACATAAAGAAAACCAAAATGGAACAAAACACATAATAAAACACAAAACAAACTAAAAACTCACAAAATGACCTAAAACGAGGAAAAATAAAGGGAAAAGAAGAACAAAAATATAACGAAAAATACAACAAAAATATTACAAACAACTCCCCCACACTTAAATCTTTGTTCGTCCCGAACAAAGAGAAAAGAAAACAAAATACGAACATGGGTACCTGTTTCAAATAAGTCATGCTTCAAAATGTTTAACTCTATCGAGTCGAATTCCAACGACCGTACGACCATATGCCTCAAATATCAACTCGGCCTAAAAATGACAACTCTAAAAAATAATCATATATGCCTCACTCATTTTCTTGTTTGAATATGTGATAGGTTTTCTCAAAATTGGCCGATATTCACGTTTCAACATATGTTTGTCAATCGTCTAAATTACTCGGAATCAACCAAAGCTTAAAATTTTTGAATCAAAAGGACTTCTCGGGTTGTAATATGGGATATAAACAAAATTAAGGATAAATATATGGACAAGAAAGCTCAAATAAACAATCAAAGTTTTCGAGTTATAAAATACTCGAATGTCCGCCACTCGACCAAATCAACAATTTACACGCATACCATCCACCAAAGTCTCCCCAAACAACACCTATATGCTCCAATTGAATTGCAATATTGCTTGACTTATTACACAATTTTTTTTTTTATTTTTTTTTATTTAGAGAGTTACTATTTCCGAACAAGTTCGAATTGTAAGGACAATATTCCTTAGGTTTAAACATTGGAGGTCATCCAAGTGTCCTAAGGTAGTTTCCCATTACTCATTACTTGTTAAAATGAATAACAAGTAAGCGGAGTAGAATCCAATCGGTTCATCTTGCGAGCTCTCATGTATTTTATTTTTTTATTTTTATATATTTTTTATATTTTTTTATTATTTTTTTTATATTGGTCAAGCAATAAAATGCAACTCAATTTTTACCTCGTTCAAAAATATCGCCACTTCACCAATCGAAACTCAAGACCTGTCAACAATCAGATATATATATATATATATATATATATATGGCTTACAAGAAAAGGCTTCAAATTCAAACGGGCTACTAGCGGAAAATGTATTTTTAGGATCAAGAACAAGGCAAAATGAGCTAACAACAAAACGCCTCAATCATTTTCGTAATTTCAAACTTAAACCAATTCTTTTCAAATAGACTCAAGGCAAGTTCTAATCATTCGAGAATACAACCAATATCTCTCAAGAAAGAAAAGTAAGGATCAAAACCTCACAAGGTAAATAAATGTCAATTAAAGCAATCAAGTAAATATCGAGGCAATGATAAATACGTCCGTCATCACAACTTCTCAATTTCATCAAACATTTATCGACAAATCATACAATTCATCGATACCAAATGTTCGATAACAACCTACCACAAAAACACGCAAATCCAAGGCGAAGTCGCCAACTCCCCCACACTTAAAATAATGCAATGTCCTCATTGCATCAACACATAAATGAAAAACAAAACAAAAAAAAACTGGGAATTAAAACAAGAAAAAGAAAAGAGTGTGCAAACCGAAGTAGCCTCGAGGGAAATAAGCATTCACGTTCCAGCCTTCCGTCCCCCAATCAACCGGTCCTCGATACATCCTGCCAAGAAAACCAATCTCCACAAACTCCCATTATTCAAAAATAAAATAAAAACATAAACAAAACGCACGAAAGCAGTAAATAACTTGGGTTGCCTCCCAAGAAGCGCTTGTTTAACGTCATTAGCTTGACAAAACCTGTACAAATCAATCGGGGTCTAAAAAGAAGTGTCGATCATGCCATGCTTTTGTATTCTCGAGAAGCGGCAGCATGGGAAGGGTGACATGACCAAGGATATGGTAGGCTCGAGTGGCAATGTTCTTGTGGAACCGAGCGTACGCATCACGGATGGTAACGAAACGACCCATCGTTCTTCTCGACAAAATTCCACAGTCATCCTCCCGAAGCACGAGAATGTCCGTGGAACATGTTGAGCTAAATGGGGCCTTCTCGACTGTGAGGTGAGATGACTCGAGTGAGGGACTTTTGAATTCGGGAACATGAGTTTCCTCTTTCACTATATCATCCTCAATCTTCGGGAGTGCATCCTCCTCATCTTCAGTCTCGTCCACGTGGATTCTGCATTCAATCTTGACGGACTGAGCGCGTTCTATGTCGTCAAGCTTCGCCACCAACCGAGTGCATTCAAGCTCCATTTTCTCTAGTCGAGATGTTTGGGCCGTCATACGAGCAAGAATGAGATCGAACTTTTCATCATCAGTCAAAGTGTTCCCCCGAAGTTCATTTTGGATGAGGGAATCGGGAAAAAAATTGTAAGCTCGATCCTCCAAGACTTGAATACGCTCCGCTAAGTTCTCGACTTTGGCCTCAAGATTCTTCGTTCGGGCTGCATAGGAGGCCATAAAATCAAGAATCCGATCAAGCTTAGCATCGTTATCTGAGGAATCCACGGGGGACTCATATTGTTGCTCGAACGGTAACGGATACCACGGTTGCTCGTAAGAGTAGGCACATGCTTGGTCATACTCCCACGAACCGTAGCTCGACCCATTATTCCAATAAAGGTTCTGCGAGGAGGGGAACATATTGCTCGGGTTCATTGATTCTTCTGTTCAATATACCTGCACACAAGAACAGAACAACCACGCGTAGCCAAAAAAAAATATTTTTTTTTTGTTTTTTTGTTTTTTTTTTAAGCTATTATTGATGCTATCGTTTTACTATTAAAAACTTTCGAACGATAGAATTGTTTTACTCATAAAAACTTTCAAACAATAAAGTCGTTTTACTCGTTAAAACTTTCGAACGATAAGTCGTTTTACTCGTAAAAACTTTCGAACGATAAAGTTGTTTTACTCGTAAAAACTTTCAAACGAAAAAGTCGTTTTACTCGTAAAAACTTTCAAACGAATACAATGAAAAAGATAATTTTTTTTTTTTTACGATTTTTATAAAAACAAGAAAAATAATAAAATCAAGAGAAACACTGAAATTAAACAAATATCACAAGAACAAGAGAAACACGAAAAATAAAATCAAACACCAAAACCAAATATCCTACTCGCCTTCCCCGGCAACGGCGCCAAATTTGTTGTGTGCAAATTATTATTATTTTTACCGAGCACCGAATTAAATGATTCGTTTCCCGGGTCGATCTCTCGAGGAAGACTGTTCGGAATCTTGAATTGGTGTTAAAATCACAAGAAAGAAAAATAACTCCTAAACACTCTAATCAAGATGAATTGGATAATAATTAACTAAAATGTAAACTAAGAAATAACATAAAATAATAATCTAGCTAAAAATATAAACGAGACAGTAATAAAGAAGCTAGGGAATCGAGAATAAATCGCTTTCGGTTTTACACTCATTCAACGACAATCAATAACTCGTTAAAAGGCTCGACTAATTAACTCATTTAGCGGTTCAACCATACTAACTCTCGTAATATATGAAAAAAACATAAACGAGCAAATTAACGAAACAAATAGCACATAGACAATACGTCTCCGAACATGTCTACTCAAAACGAGCCAAGTTCTATCAATTTCTCCCCTCTCGGTTATGAAATCGATTATTTTTACAACTCCTCCCCTCTCGGTTCTACAAGTTGCAATTCACAAAATTAATAAACTTTAACTTAAAAATTCAATATCAAGCACAAATCAAAGTGTCACTCTTTGATTATATCATAAAATTAACCT